AGACATACAATTAGCTGGCAGATATGCATGATAAATATCGATAAATTCATATGCATATAGAAATGGGCATATGCTTGTATGTCGAAAACATACTTCAACTGTACCTGGCATCGAAGTTTTATACGGATGGTTCTGAGGATAGTCTTTCCCATATAATGTGGGTATTTAACCGATGCACTACATTGTTTCTCTACGTTAAACCGATGCAGTATACTATACTTTATTTAGTTGGTTGTTTGTATACTTACAATTTAATTAAATTGATATTAGAATATTACCTAGAAGCTTTCCCTATGTTTATTGAAGGTTATTATGGATACATACATACCGGTGTGGGGAATGGCCGAATGGATATGGTTAATGCAGGACATGGTGTTTAATAAATTCGAGAATCCAGGATTCCAGGGGTTGAAAATCCGAAACCCGCACACAGTCAGCAAGGCGTCAAGGAACAATTGAGGAATTCGGCCCGAATTCCTGCTTGGCCTTGCAGTCGGCGGCAAAGTCAGACCTCAGTCATTACGTCATTGATATTTGTAAACGTTTCAACGTAAATATCGGTGTTATAGAGCATATAACTTTGATAAAAGAAACAACGGGCTATCTTGTATGCATATTGCCCAAAACGCCTTTTATACGTTATAACGTAATGAGTTTAGGAGTCTCAGGAGTCACCGTCAGGTCTTCAGCTCACTCAGGAGTCAGGAGTCAGGACTGAGCTTCTGAAGTCTGAGGACTGAGGGCTCAGTGGACAGTGTATGATTTCTAAAAGAAAGGAGGAATATTTTTCGTTGATCTACATACTATGGAATGCTGCCCAGCTCCAGGCAGATTGTGCAAATGTTTGACAAAATGTGCAGTAGAAACAGTTTGCATTCATAGTAAAATATAGAGGCGATCTGGTAGCTACAGACTGCTACAGGTTCGCAATGCAGCAGTACACCAGACCGGATGGAGACAAGGCTGCGATGACCAAATTATTAAGCCCAAAGCAGTTTTATAGGATCATCCTCAAAGGTTGCAGGTCTCGGCAGTTTTGGGCGACTTCAAAGTAGCATTCCAGTCTTGACCTCACGGGACTTAGGAATCCGGTTAATCGGTCGGAAATCCATTCGCTGTGTCTGCTTGTTTTTCATCGGATTCATCTAGTAACTCACAGATTGCTAAAGACAAAATATAGAACCTCTAGCATAAGCCAGATGTTTTCGAGATCAAGAAAGGCTATAGAAGCAATTCAGTCACGGAAAAAATACAGCCAAAATGATTTCTTCTTCGTAGTGCAAGACCGAAGGCTATGTAAGTATTTAAGGTCGATTCTGCAAGACTACGACAATCAGTCTTGCATACTCGGGACAAAAATTAACTAGAGTTACAACTAAACGAGATGAAGGTTCTCCATTTGATAGCGAGTGTTTTGGTCCTCGGTTCGCTGGGTGCCAGTGCAAAATCGATTATTGAGAAACCTTTCCGCAACGAAGCCTCTAGCATTGGGAAACGAAATGGGGAAATTATGGTTCAACTGAATATGGGAGCGACCAGAGCGGAATTTGAAGCCGAAGTCAACTCACTGTTCAAGTACAACAAGGTTAACAATGGTCGCAACGACAAACAATCCAAAATCGGCAACATGATTGTTGGTTCATACGCCGCTGGGGATTCATTCGTAGTTGTAGTAAGAACTGAGAAACAGAATGCCATCAAGCAAATTATGCGGGCGTCTTCTGTTCAGGATGCTGAATACGTAACAGATGTTCAATCAACATCAACACTTTACAATTGGGGATTAGATCGTATCGACCAATTGTTTCTACCGCTTGATAACATTGCTACCGTGTCGGACTTGGCCTCTGGAAATGGCATGGATGTGTTCATCGTTGATAGCGGAGTCGACATTTCGCACCAAGGATTTGCACACACAAATGTATCTCACTCGTGGTCCGCTTTCAGTGGATGTCAAGACGGTCTTGGACATGGAACTCATGTAGCTGGGATTGTGGCTTCAAGCGGTTTTGGAGTAGCACCGGGTTCTACTATTCACAGCGTGAAGGTAAATAGTTTTACGTATGTCGCAACGTGAACTCGTGCCCCAGATTCAAAAAAATTGCGAATCGATTCAAATTGAATACTCGTCATTTGCAAAATTTAACTCATATTGGTTTCTCTTGTTTTCAGGTGTTGAACGACCAGGGTCAAGGAACAACATATAACGTCATCATGGGATTGGAACACATCTTGTTCAACCGACCCGGAGGGCCAGGATCTCCTGCTGTAGTAGTGATGTCACTATCAGGACCAACTTCAGATTATATGGATACGTTAACGTACCGCCTGTATCTCGATAACGTCCTGGTTGTAGCTGCAGCGGGAAATGCAGAAACTGATGCGTGCGATAGTTCTCCCAGCAGAAGCCCCTGGGTGCTAACTGTGGGTGCGACGGATATTGATGACAACTATACTTCATACTCGAACTGGGGCAAGTGCGTCTCTCTTGCGGCACCTGGTCATAGTATTTCCTCCACCACACCTAATGATGCTGTGAGTACTTGGAGCGGAACTAGCATGGCTGCCCCCCACGTTGCAGGGATTGCAGCCAAGCTCTGGTCCGATGCTGGCAGAAACATTACCAATCGACAAATACTACGATCTATGCTTGTCGCAGCCACTCCGGGGCAACTATCTGGCGTGCCGGCGGACACTGCCAACTTGTATGCATTTGCCAATATCAATGTTGTCGAGATATCCAATTCCACCGACAATCACACACAGTTTGGAGAAGGCAAGGGCTATATATACAGTCCACCAATGACCGAGGAAGAGTATGCAGAGCAGCAAAGACAGTACAGTCTCTGGACGTTCGATGAGTTCTTGAATATGCGTTTCTATTATGGGGGGTCAATCGATGGTGCCAACTACAGCACGTATCTCACTATGCGCTCAACTCAGGGTGGCTGGGATCTACTGAGAATGGAAAGCACAAACATTACGATGATCCGTGAGAACGGCTGGACAAGCGTACACGATTTTCTTGCTTGGAAGTGGCTGATTGGTGATGGAGAGGTTGATGAGACTGATCTCGAACCTGAACGACAGTACTTCCAGGAGCTGAAGTCATTCCTTCTGAACACTAACTACACACAGTATGTGACGGACCGTGATCTGTATCACACTGAGCGATTCTACTACGGAGGTAGTATCGAAGCCGAGAGGTTCTACTATGGTGGATCGATTGCGGCATCACTTAATCGCACGTCGGCCGTCACTGTCCCAAGCCTAACAGATGCGCAAATCCATGCCCACCGTGTCGAGTACGTCAGTTTTATGATATCCGAAGCGAATACGACGTACCTCAACTCGCGTTTCTACTATGGGGGGTCAGTCTTGATAAAGAAAAATCCTGCGACAGATGAAATCGGTGTATACGAGGGCGAATGGCTAGTAATCCTCTCAAACGGTCAAATGTTCAACGAGACAGCTCAGTTAGTTGAAGACGCGAGCGTGTCGGGCGGCGACTTCTCGGCTGAGAACTGGAGTGCATCGTTCAACAACACTGGTGTGGTTGGTGCCAGTTTCTACACCATTGTCACAGAAGAAGGAATGCTGGGAGAGTACGAAGAAGACTGGGTGGAGTATGACGTGGAGCGGTTCTACTATGGCGGCAGCTACGAGGCTGTGAAAATGAATGGCAAGTACGACACCTTGAATCGGTATTCGGACTAGGAGGAAAGCAGGTAAAAAGAGTAGAGACAGGACAACTACATGAGTGCGACTCTGTTTCTCTTCTGGAAGCAGGCGGTCTATACACGGCCAAAGGTATGGCAAAAGTGCACGGAACAGAATAGGATTGAATAGAGACACATAAAGCACCTATCACAGTACTATACTCTGGCATCAAAACCATATCAATAAATGCTCTTCCGAACAAAAAGTCTTCATATTTGTTGCAAACGATTCTCCTCACAATTTGAAAGCGGCTATTATATTGCTCTACAGAACACGAGCATGAAACCATGAATTGCACTTGATAAAAGTTGCAGGATATATTTCAGTTACCACCACGCTAAGCACCAACCTTGCACATGATACAGCCAAATGCTGAATAATATACAAATCACATACTAACTCTTGACAGCAGGATAAGCTACTTTGATACCAGAGAGCAGTAATTGGCAATGCTTGGGACAACATAGCATATATGAAGATAAGAAATCTGACAATCTAAATGTGTATTGAGAGTGGGCAACGGGTGAGCACATCTGGAGACTGTAAATATCGTATATCATGTACTTTAACATCAATTTTATGTTGGTGTGCATATCACAACACAAGTGTCGTGTAACAAAACCTTCGTTCTCGTGTGTACACTTATAGAGCGTATTTGTAAATATGTACCAAAAACGTACATGTATATTACATACGCTGATCAGCACCCGTAGGAGACACACCATTTGATATTCTATCATATCTAGAGATACAATTCCGATCATGACTTTTCGAAGTCACATGAGTAGCTCAAAAAAGAGCAACAAAATTATGGTCGGCACCTCTCTCACATCAAAACTATCAAGTAATGTCAACTGACGTCGGTAAATACCGCTTCTAGAATCCACGACAGTTCATTATTCTCGTAGATTTCTGGAGTTGACAGTCAGTATGTTTCGTGAGGATTACAGTAGCCTCCTTGACGAGCTCGTTCTGAAGATCTTGGCCAGCCTCGCACAACCAGAGCTTCAGAATGCGGCCCAAGTGTGTAAGTTATAACCTAACACGATACAGTATACTCACCACTGTCCGTGTCAGTATACCAACTCACTTAATGTCGATGTTATCATCACAATCCATCAGACAAATAGTAACTTAAAACACTACTTTGTTCCGTAGTATCTACCCACACACATCAACTGTGACAACTTCACCACTAACGCCCCACCGCCCGCATCGGCGTACAAACCCACTCACATCAATGCTATCTTCACATTTACCAGGTAGAAAGTGGCACAAAGTGGCCCAGGACCCCACACTCTTCCGGATGTACCAAGCCACACACGACGACTGCTATAGCCTAGTTTGCGACCTGTCCCAGGTCAAGTATAGGAAATTGGAGCGCCTTTCACTCAACGCGCGTATTAGAGCTTCCGGCTTGACAGACGCCTTCCAAATGATCGGGTTATACTGCCCACGCCTTACTACATTGGATGTATCTCATGGAGGGGAAGAGCAAGTGGGACTACTCAACTTTGCTGCAGATATAGATACAATGAACAGTATATGGGTTGCCTGGCCTTTGAGTGCCGGGTCACCATCCTCTCCGTGTCGTATTATAGATCTGTGTGTAGCGATGGGAGACAGGCTGACTGATATCAGAATACTTATTTCAGACCTATGCGATAGGCGTGTGTTTGACCTGGGGTTCCTTCTAACTATACTCGCAGGCAAGTGCCGGTCTGTGCGCACGCTTTGTATTTCGAATGACAATCAGGAGAATTGGAATGGATGTGAATATTCGGCGTATTCACTCACTTTATCGCGTTATTTATTCTCTGTAATAGATAACTATCCACATCTAGAACGGTTTAGCATCCTTGGCTTGCCTGATAGTGTTGCAGATGCAACCACGAAGCACATCACTGAGCTCTGGACATGCAGTCATCTAGATAACTTGATGCGTCTGGAAGTGAGCGAGGGTAGTGTTGCACCGCTGGACAAGAAGGTTCTTGTACAGGCTGGTATATTGCACGAGCTATCGCTACAGGAAGCTACGCCGGCTGTGTTCCACAGATAGAAGCTATACCGCAACGTCGTATAGCGGTAGTGTAGTAGAAGTGTATGTATTTATATACAGATGTAAATAAATATGGAACTGGTATGTACTATTTTTAGAAGTGATGAGAAGTGATGACTGATGTTACTGATAATGAATTTATAATGACACAAGAAGTGGGTCGAGTTCAGAGTGCTCAGTTTACATTTTTAAAACTGAAGAGAATATAATAAAGCCTGGACGACTGGAGGGCCGTTACAAAAGTACAACATTCATACTTTGATACCGAGGTGATCGATTTGTATCTCTACCCATAGTAAGTAGTAGCTACGTGTAACATATCGCGATGCTTTGTACACTATCACGCGCTCAAGTGCACGTGTGTACATTGAGAGTTTTACTCTCGTATAGCGCAAGTTGCTTCACGCATCGCCTTTATAGTAACGTGCAGAATACAATACCATCACACGCCGTAGATGCTGCGAATCAGCCGGCAAATAATACATCGAACGATCCAGCGAAGTCGACTATTAGAACGAATAAACCTAAAAACCCTGAGCAATGGCAGAAGTGGATCAATTACGATAACGCATATGACACGGAATCGGATCACCTCAATCGAGCGAGGCACTTCTTCTTTCACATTGACACAAAAGGCAAGTTACTGCGACGAGAGCTTGCACAAGGAACACCGCCGAAGCGAAAGGTTGGAATTGAGGATGGAGAGGAGAATGTGAATGTCAAAGTAGAAAATTATGGAGTGTTGACACACGCTTCTATTGTTGATCGGTTTTATAACAATCTACGGGTATGTAACGTACGTATATGTATGTGTATTTGTGTATATATGTGTGTCCTAGTATCCATACAATTCGTTCTATCATGCTATATAAATAAAATA